GGTGCGGGACGGGGGGGTACCTGGTCGTGCAGCGCCGATGTCTCGGTGTAGGGCGCGCCGAGCGCGGCGGCGTAGCGCGCGGCGTCGGTGGCGGGCACGGCGCGCGCGGCCGCCAGGTCCGCCTTGTTGCCGACGAGCGCGAGCACGAGCGGCCCGGCCGCATTGCTCTGCAGCTCTTTCACCCAGCCCTTGACGGCGGCGAAGCTCGCGCGGCACGTGATGTCGAACACGAGCAGCGCCGCGTTCGCGTTGCGGTAGTACATGGGCGCCATGCTGCGGAACCGCTCCTGCCCCGCCGTGTCCCACACCTGCCGGCCGAGCGTCGCGTCAATCCCGCCCGAGTCCAATTCGGTCTTAAGTCATAATTACTTGAGTCGTGGCAAGAGATTTGGTAAAAGCGCATATTTTAGTATGGCGAATTGAGGTGTATTCTACCTATTTTTGTAATAGAAATATTACAGTTGATTACGGGATGTTGAATATGTTTTGTCCCGCGAGTGCGGCGCGCGTTACCTGCAGCTTGACGCGCGCCTCGGCCAGGTTGATGTTGCAGGTGAAGAAGGAAGCGCCGATGGTGGGCGAGATGTGTCGCGAGAACATCTTGCCGATGTAGCGCACCACCAGGCTCGTCTTGCCCACGCCTGCAAGCGGCGACCGACGGCGTCACGGAGACGGCCGGCCTAGCAGTGTTCCATTTCTGTCGCAACACCGCTAGGCCAGTTAGCAGTGGTAGATGCCAGCAACAACAACATCTGTTGCATGAACACCACCACCACACAGAAGACAGGCATCAAATGGAACTAATCCTGCTTACAGTCTGATGAGTACACTCTGGAGGCCTAATTTTAGTCCCCGTTCCCTTTCCACCATTTTCTTATAAGGAAAGGATGGAAATGGGAAGGGGATACATAGTAAGGGGAAATATTCTCTTACTGTGCATATTCTAATCTGTTAATTAAAGGTAGTCAATGCATTTGCAATTCCGGATTTTGCTTATTCACAGCAGTTACTTTGCCATTTTGAAGATTTTGGTTGCTTGTTTTCCATCTTATAATATTAAAAAAATATAAACACAGGATCATAAGATGCCAATAAACCATTTCAAGAACCCAGCAAATTACTCCAGTAGGGCAAAGAAGATAAAATGCAATATTTACTTTATCAGGACATCTAACAACATTCCAATAATCCTGTTCACAAAGAGTTGCCCAGCTGCAGGCTGCTGCAAAATAATGGCTTCTTGTAAAATAAGAAGGTATTTACTATTTCTGTCAATTTATAATCAATCTTTTAATAAATAATATGACTTATTTCATAATTTTGCTGATTTTGCTTAAAGTGGGAAGTGGCTACTGTTCATACACATTTTTGGCAAATTAAGACTAATTTAATTGAAGATATCTAGCCTAGCTGATTGAGCTGAAGAGTTGACATAGGGAAAAAAGAAACCTTCACTGCCAAATACACTTTCCATCCCCACCTTTTCCTTTATTGAAAGGGAAGAGAACTAAAATTCTACCTCCAGCACAAGTGAATGCTATCACTGTGTGGTTGCAGTGCTATACCTTTTAAATAAGCCAATCATGCAAACAGCAGCTACTGCAGATTCTACCTTTGTTAAACATTTTCACTATACTATAAAAATAATATTGCATGTTATAATAAATTGTAAATTATTTTATTTATTTACATAATTACATAATATTATTGAATAAAGAGAAATCTATATACATAACTTTATTTCAACAAGTGCCAGCAAATTTAGTGAAACATTAATATTGTATATGTAAAGGTATTAATTTGCCAATTTCCTGATAGCTTCGTAATCGGGTAGTCATGTCGTAACAAATACAATCATTTATGTAGTGAATTTCGTAACGCATACCTTGTGACCCTAACACCACTATTTTGGCTTCTATCACTTTCATTTTAATCTACACCTTATGGACTATGGAAACGTTTAAAATTCACTTTATAAAATTTTTCTATCACAATGAATGACTGGGATTTTTAAAAATATTCTTCGTCGTAATGTTTAAAATATTAATTAAACTAACGTGCACTTTCATTCTTAGCTAGAGACCAACTAGAGGCGGACAAACAAGTTTTCCTTCATTTAAAGAGCATTTAATGTGGTTTATAGGTACTGGTATGGTATCTATTTTTGTTAAACTATGTTCTGTTAGTTTTAATCTAAATTTTCTCTATTTTGTTTTACTCGACTTAATTCTTGTAAATTGACACATGACAGTGACACTCATAAGATGCATATACTCTTTGATACAAATTACAATTTCCTCAGTGTTGTCATTTACATTATAAAATATACATGTAATGTCTATACTCTGTAAATGGACTGGCTAGGCAACGTATTTTTTGTGCCTATTTGATTTTTGCCATTTTTTATTTTTCCATTTATAGAGATCGGTGTTATTGACCCATAAGGCTATCAGTGAAGCAGTGTTTGAATCATTCAATAACACCAGCTAATGGTAAACGGTAACTGAATGGTCTTCAGAAACATGGTATTAATCTACTTTTAGTTCATTTTTTATTAAAGACTAGTTGTTATCTGCAACTCCGTCCGCATGGAATGAAAAAAAAAACTTAATTAGTTCCCGGCAATTATTCGAATTTTTCTCACCTTTTAAACCTTCCCTAGACCTCCAAGAACATTCCAAAATAAAGTGTGTGTGAATCCGTTGAGCCGTTGTCTAGTTTTAGCGAGACTAACGAACAGCAATTCATTTTTTTTATATAGAATAACTAAATGCATAAAATTACATTACTTTCACCGCAATTTCTTAAAAAAAAAGGATCTAAAGTTTTCGCTTCAGGTATTGGTTTAAAGATAAGGTTTTTTTTATATCGTAAGGCGACAAACGAGCGAGCGGACACCTGATATCGCTGAAGTAGCGAAGTGACCGTTGCCCATAGACATACGCAATTGCTTATGCGTTGCCTACCTTTAATCGATGAAAAAGAGGATGCACAGAAAGAAAATATCTTCCCCTTCCATGCATCCTCTCATCCGGAAAGTCCACTTCACTTCCCATCCTTTCCTTATAAGACAAAGTTAGGGAAGGGAAAGAGGACTAAATTAGGCCTCCGGGACGCACACTCATCAGACGAAAAGCGAAATTGCTTCCACTTCACGCCTGTCTTCTGTGTGGTCGTGGTATTTCACCGGGCGAGCCGGGCCAAGTCGTGCGAAGATGTTAAAGCGGGCTATACCACTGTCGAAATAAGCTACGCTTATTTTAAAATATATCCCTTACTTGGTCGCATAAGTAATTGTCGCCCGCGAAAACCTTCGCGCACAATTAAAAAAATATATAAATAGGCCTACATGTTCTTTCAGACTATGATTTACATCTTTACCAAATTTCATCGAGGTCCATGCAACCATTCACCTAGAGACACCTTCTAACATCCATCCATCCATTCGTCCAAACATTCGCATTGTTAACATTAGTAAGATTCACAGAAAATAATTAAAAAACATCAAACGTCATTATAATATTTATTACTTTCCTCTGCTTACTTATTTTAGGCATACAATTGAAATGAAAGCAAAGGTTGCTCTTAAAATGGTGTTTTTTTGCTGGCTTATTTGATCTGTCTGCGTTCACTGACATCATTCCTGAGCTCGCTTCTGTCTGTTACTGAACTTTAGGTATGTACATACACCGGTACTAAGGGATAGATCTATATATGTATCTATTAACAGTTTTGTTGTAAACTGCGGCATTTTACAAACACCGTGTGTGAATACGTCCCAAGGAAAATACTTAGTACGATTGTCCTGTCCGCTTTAGGTATATTTTTAGTTCAAATGCGTCAATATGTTGACTAATGTTGGGATATTGTTTCGTCAAAAAATTCCATTAAATCATTAGGAGGTACTTGTCCGCAACATGAGTGGCTGTAGCTAGTACAGCAACAGGGGGCGCACAGGACGCAGCTTATTGTGCTGGCAGTAGTGCTTCTCCCGTACATTGTAAGTTATAATACACATTACGAGTGAGAATTACACAATACACTAAAATTGCTGAATGCACTTTGCTTGTTAAAATTATCGAGTTGCGTTCAAACAAAACTTGTATCGTTACGGCTTGTGAACCTACCATTTCTTTGCGAGCGGGCGAGACAGGTTATCAGATAGAATATTGTAAGAAAAAATTCTATCACAGCGCGTATATTTTTTTGCCACCGATATCTATAGATCAAAAGACAGGCATAAAGTGGAAGTATTACCTCGTTTCGTCTGATTAGTGTGCATGTCCGCGGCCCAATGTTAGTCCCCTTCCAACCCTTTTCTTAAAAGGAAGGGACGTGCAAAGTAGGTGGATTTGGCAGGAGATTGGACGTTTGCGAAGGGGATATATTTTTGTGAGTCCTCTCCGTCGATTAGAGATGGGCAATGCATTTGCAGTTGCGGATGTCTATAAGCAGCTTGCTCGTTTACCACCATTTGCTAAAAAGTACGTCATTTTACTCCGTACAAAATTAATTCAATGCTTCATAGACGTGAGTTGTCCCTGTTGATAACAGCCCTTTTGTCACCGGGACAACTAACGTAATGAACGTAACGGAATCGGTCACGACAACTCACACGTATTTAAACTGTAAAGCGCTATTGCTTGGTTAGTTGTTTAAAATAAATATAAAACGATACAACTCTAACAATACACCATACTTACTTTTGGTTTGTTGTGTCTTTTCCACGCCTTATAGTATTATTGCAAATCCATTTGTGAATGAAGTGTGTCTTATTTTGTCTTTTCAACCATACCTGCGCCTGCGCAGTCGGTGGGTTCGCAGGTAACTTGTGCAGTTACGCATTTGTTGGTTTGTTAAGACGACAGTAATATAATCTAGACAATGCAAACTAAAATTCATGACAAGTAATAGGAAGTATGAATCGGTGTCGCCATCGTCCGCCGCTCCGCGCCGCTTCGTCGAGCCGCAAACCTCGTTGTCGTTTCTCGCTCGAGGCAAATGCGAACTTGTTCTGTCATCACGTGGCAGCACTGTACTGTACATAATATTGTTACGTCAAAATTTACTGCCGTGTCACTTGTATTAATACATAATATTGTCGTCCCTTTATTTTCTTTAAAAACCGCAGACTACAATATGTTGAATTCTACCTTAGATTGTCCCTTGCACTCCAATGTTTAAAAAAACAGATGGGTGCCGCCAGATGTTTATCACCCTCTGGTGCCTAACCGGTTGTCGTTGAGAGGCTTTTACGGCGAGGGACCGCGATGAGATCACGAAATGCTGTGGCTGACAGCTGTGACTGTGACGCATCAAACAAATCTCGTGTTATGAGCGTGAGCCTGCATATGGCGACGGTGCGGCGCGGTGCGGCGCGGCGCGGCGACGGCGAGGCAGATTAGTCGAGCTGCTCGACTAGTTGTTGAACTTGTGCCGCGAGTTATCGTTAGAGGTCACTATCGCAATTATGAGATGAATTAATCTGCAGTCGCGGTCGCGGTGGCGCAGCGAGTACGCGTACTGGTCGCCACTGGATGCCGCGTAGCGCCAAGTGACTCCGCGTGACGTCAGAGCGTCACGTCAACAGGATTGCATAAATGTCGGGCAAATAAAAATTCTACCCTCATTACTTTATATTTTCGCTTATCAAACGGTGAGTAAAGCTGTTGTTACTTATGAACTTTTGAGTATATATATATATATATGTTGTAAGGTAAGAACAAAGCGACTCAAACATTATAATGAAATGTTGTTTTAGAGGATACATTGACAGCACTTTACTTGCGACGGTTTCCGCCTGTCAAAATAGCGCTATCTGTTGAAAATAATTAGCGTAAATAAGTTGTTTTTCAATAAAAAGAAAAAATCTATGCCTCGATACTTTCTGTACATAAATGACATTATGGTAATAAAAGAAGTACAATTGCAAATATCCATAATGAAAACCATATTTTACATATAATATTTGATAAATTAAAAAAGTAAAAAACAGCAGTAGCAAAAAAATGACAATATATAAACTAACATGCGGCTGCGCACTGCGTCGTAGCCGCATTGAAGGGGTTGCTATAACAAAAATTATAGCAAAAATTATTCCCTAAGTCTATATTACTGCTTATGACAAACCGGGAAAAATGGAATGATATCTCATTTGTTAAAATCTGTTTTATGTCACAAAGGAACTTACGCTTATAAAAAAAAAACGATTTAAAAAGCGAACATTTGGCAATCGACAATGCGAAGACACTTTGCACCCCGTACTAGTCTCTGCCGAGATGTTAGAACATAGGAAAGTGGATAAACCTTTTTCTGCTTATATTCTCTTCGTCCAATATATGCTTCATAATAGGAGAATAATATTCTATTTGGTTTGCAAGCCTCGCTAGTGGCATCATTGATCTAAAAATAAATTTTGGCTCGATCGATACGATACGGCAAATACTTCTGCAACAGAGTGTCGCGCGGTGGGACACACGTCGGACACACACGACTGTCGATATATACCTAACGTGAGCATTAATTTTTTGACTCAAAACGGGACATTGATTTTTTTCAGGTAATTAACATATAGTCCATTAAAAATTAAACTTTTTAAAGTTCTTTCTTCAAATAAAATTAGTAAGCTTACGTTACAAATTAAGAAATATATATATAGCCGAAACGTTTAGTAGCAGAGGCTTTGCTTTAAGCTGAGTACCTATGAATAATAGCTGATGATGATATTAAACAAGTTGGAGCTTTCTATATTCGCCTTAAGAAGTGAAATTTGAACAGAGTTTTCTCAGATGGGTTGACCGACGACGTGGTTTCGCCCTTTTAAGCCAATGCCGACCAGTTCAACTGCTTAAATTTTCGCGCGGATAAAAAAATACTGGCCAAGTGCGAGTCGGACTCGTGCCCCGAGGGTTCCGTACTAACCTGTAGGTAGAAGTAAAAGAATTTCGACAATTGAGTCATAGTTAAAAAGACTAATATGTTTATAATTTCTAAAAATAATATGTGTTGTAACAAAAAAAAATTACGATTTTCGGATTTTTTCCCTTTATGTGTGTTTTAACACATTGCTATATGCCAAATTTTATTCTAGGGCGACCGTGTATCATTCGTTGCGTTATATTTGGCTCGTTTACGTAACGACACGTGTTGCCGGCCCAAAGGTCTGACATCTAGTAACGTCCCCTCTCTCCGGCATGTACTCTCGTCGGTTGCGGTGTGGCTGACAGAAACGGTCGCGGACGTTCAGTGACTCATCTACCCTCACAAGATTTTGACAATTGTAACTTTTTGTTTCCAGAAACCAAAATAGTCGGATCAGAGGATGTTTTAAGGCGGCGTGAACACGAGTGTATTGTTAGTAAATAGAATGCGTGAAGCGTACGTGGACGGCGACCTCGAACGGATGCCAGGGGCGCGGTGGGTGCCGGTGGTGTTACTGCTGGTGCTGCTGTGCCAGCCCACGGCGAACTCTCTCGCGGCAGATGAGGACCTCAGCCAGATGGGTATCATTATTTATTTTCATGTTAATAAATAAAAAATCATTAATTTCTGTAGCGGCATGGGCACACGTCGCATGGTACATGGCGGTGTGGTCGCAGCGCTGTGAGTTGTGTAATAATTTGCAGGCAACGAGTACAAGTCGTGCTTTCGGGCGCGGGACCGCAGGGTGGGGATATGCGTGCACTTCACGCAGTGCTACAAAAACCAATCCCTGGCAGAGGGTGGACACATTTTCAAGTACGAAGTCAGGTACGCCACACCTTGTATTATATATTATTGGGCACATTTCCAGTTCACAGTTAAGTCGTCAAGAGAAGCGTGCGGTGCTATTGTTAGTTTGTAGGTTACAGCTCACTGTATTGTGTAAAAACTTTACAAAAAAATATATCACACGTATGTACGTAAAGATCGCACGTCGCACGTCGCGTGTCGCACGTCGCGTGTCGCACGTCGCGTGTCGCACGTCGCGTGTCGCACGTCGCGTGTCGCACGTCGCGTGTCGCACGTCGCGTGTTGCACGTCGCGTGTCGCACGTCGCGTATCGCATGTTGCGTGTCGTATAATATGGTCGTAGCATTAGGTTAACTGTTTAGTTATTTATCGCTAACATGTTTTACTAATTTAAAAAAATGATACTTTCCTTGTTTCAGGGACGGAGCTCCTCCAATTAAGTATAAATGTTGTTTTTATTTTTGTTATAATAGTACACAAATAGACACATCAAAAAGCGACGCTTATTAAATTAGCTATTATTTATGTAATTTAATATGTTTTTATCTTATTTTGCGTTTTAAAAATTCATTAAAAAAAATAAGAAGAGAAGTTACTTTCTAAAATTATTTTTTACAATATTATATGTAATTATTATATTACATTTTATTTAAATTTTTTTTTAGAATATAAATAATTAAATCCAAAAAAGGACGACATTACATATTCATAGAGATGTTTTTGAAAGCACGATTTATCTTTGTGGATGAGAGAGTTTCGCATGGTTTGGTGGCTATCCACCACACCACATCTCATCCCCCGCAGTCAGTATTGCTTCTCGCCGAGAACTTCAATGCAAAACATTTTGACGAACCATTCTTTATTTGTATGAGTATTGTTCACTCGGACCTAATGTATCAGGCTAACAAGAAAATTGAGTGTGAAGTTAACCAACGCACACTGGGTCAGTTCAGTTGATTAAGGTCAAGACACCCTTACTTGGGAATGCTCCGAGTCTCTCGGTGGACACATGAGCGGACGGCAATACATGAAGCACGCGACTTATAAACAGTAAGCACAACAAAAATGGCGAGTTTTTTATGTGTTCGTATAAAATTAATTATTTGTTTAGCGATTGCGGCCGCGACAACTGGTGCTGCACTGACGACTCCGGCCTGTCCGTGTCCGCGCCACCCGACGTCGCCTCCAGCAGCTCGCCGCCCGAGGGCACGGGTAAGCGGTGCGCGCCCGCCTTCAGACGCCTCATGGGCGACGTCGCACGACTGCGACGCGCATGTTCCTTAGCCGTGGTCAATTAATGTTAAATTTGCGTATAATTTTTTGTTTCGTTAAAATAAAGTTTGATATGATAAAGACGCTAAGCGAGACCTCGCCTCTGCGCTGGTGGTTTGCTGCTGCATTGTGCCTCATAATGTGGTTTAATATTAGTCCCTGTATCCACTTGTGCGGATCGGTGTTGTGGAGAAATGTTAATTGTTATTGTGCTCATAGAGCGGCTCGCTGCTCTCTGAGTGCGCAGGCAAGCGCCATTGCCAACTGCCGTAACATTGCTATATTTGTTTTGTCACAGGGAACTGCCTGCGAGCCTTCGACGACTGTCCGTGGTGCGTCGCCCTCTACAGGTTCGTTTCGATTCGTTGCTTACGTAGTGCGCTTCACCCATTACACACCGACTTGTCCAATCGGCCGGGGAAGCGGGCCAGCAAGCCAGGATACGAGGTTTGTTGATTGTTGCAGGCCGGGCGGCGACGTGAACCGAAACCAACGCACCAAGTCCGGCCTGTACTGCGGCGGCGCGCTGGTTAGCTCCCGCGCTGTGCTCACAAGCGCCGGGTGCGTCGCCACCATCGCCGAGGAGAGCGTGTGGGCGCGCGTGCCGGCCTCCGCCGCGCCCACACGCAACTACGCCGTCGTCGACAAGCTGCGGCACGAAGGCTACAACTCCGGTGAGCCTCGCCCGTGCCCGAGCGCCGCTCGGTGCGGGACAAGGGTCGGTAAATAATCGGCTTGCCGTTTGTTCCAGTTTTCGCCAGTATGAGTGTCGCAAATAACTACAATAAAAATAAAGATTTAGCGCGCGATCCCCTGATGCAGTACTTGTGTTCGTTTGTAGCTGAAGAAATGGTGGATTTTAACATTGGCTTAAAACTTTAGGTAACAGCAAAAACGACTTCGGCCTTCTGATTTTAAAAGATTCAGTCGAGTTCTCAACGAGTCCCTTTAGTGCATGCGTGAGCTTTGCGCTGCCGCCCGCTGTCGGCTGCCGCGCCGCCGGCTTCGACGCCCTCGAGGAGGTGGTACTGGTGAGAGCGCCCCTACAATATTGTTCCTTCCAATATCTTCTTCTTTTAAATATAAATACAAGTGTAGACCTAGTTTTATCTCGATAGATCGACAAAATTATACACAATGAATGTGGTGTGGAGCAATATCTATCGCCGATCACTGCAACGAGGCAAAATTAACAATGCAGTGGGCATTGTAATAAATGTATTCACAGACGCCAGTGTCCCTGCGAGACGGAGATTGTTCGCAGCGCAACCGCAGCATCCCGGACCTGATGTGCGCCATTCCGGCCCTCGCCGGCGCCGCGCCCTGCGCCATATCGCCCGGCGCGCCCGTGCTCTGCCCCGCCGGCGACGCCCAGGTACATCCCGTCTCCCATACATTTCTTCTCACCTACTTTTTCTATACTTTGCCGTGGCCGATTGCGACTCTATTGTTTCGGATCCGAGGAAATGCCTCAACGTTGCTTTTATAAAAATATCTAATGTCGCAGGGCGGGCTGGCGCTAGCCGGGGTGGTGCGGCGCAACTGCCGGGCAGGCGCCGCGCGTCTCGGCAAGCTGCAGCCGCATGCTGATTGGTTGCAACTGCAGCTGCGCCGGCTGGGCGTGCCGGCCTGGCGGTACGCGCTCTAGCCGCTAGCCGCGAGCCACTAGCCGCTAGCCGCTAGCCGCTAGCCGCTAGCCGCTAGCCGCTAGCCGCTAGCCGCTAGCCGCTAGCCGCTAGCCGCCAGCCGCGCGCCTCGTCCCGTGCCCGCGTTTACTTCGCGGTACGCGGTTCAAGGTCAAGCGCAACAAAACAATCACAAAATCTGAACAAGCATCTATTGTACAAGCTATGTTGTGATTCATATTTAACTAAAGACTTATGTAAAAATGCTTACCTAATAATTTTGGTGTCAAATTGGTTAAATCTTTAGCTTTAATTTCTCGCTGCTCTTTAATGTAATAAATAATAATATTGGTCTTGAGAATACTGATTTATGTTAGAAAGGCGCTATCATTGACAGAGTTCGAGGTCATGTGTACACATAATGTTATAATTTAACCATTTAGCAGGATACGTGACCTCTGTGGAAGTTTGCATGCGTTTTACTCATTTTTCAAGTCTCCTAAATGTGATAACCTCTGTAATATAGCAAAATTAAATTTTATTCATATAGTGATGTTTTTGTAATAGTACTTCTACTAATTGATAACATGTTTTTATGAATTAGTGTTGAATAAATGTTGCTGAATAACATTTGATGTATTTATTTTGTAATTGTATGACGCGATGGAGGTTCGTGAAATGACGGAACTTTTTACAAACAAGCTGTAAGCGATGGGCTGGCGTTAAATATAGGTTCGCTCTACCGAGTACACGAAGCTTTTTTACCCCCTGAACTAACCAGATGACTATTAGTTATAACAAATGGCCGCATTTGTAGTTATAATCCTAAATTTATTACATTATGATTTAAACAAGCTGTGCCCGCGACATTGTCCGCATTTATTTTTATATCATAAGTTGGCAGACGAGCGAGCGGCCACCTGAAATCGCTGAAATAGCGAAGTGACTGTTGCCCATAGACATACGCAAACGCCTATGCGTTGCCTACCTTTAATCGATGGAGGCGAGGATGCACAGAAAGAAAATATTTTCTCTTTCCATGCATCCTTTCATCCGGAAAGTCCACTTCCACTTCCACTTCCCATCCTTTTCTTATAAGAAAAACGGTAGGAAGGGAAAGATGACTAAATTATGCCTCCGAGACGCACACTCATCAGACGAAACGCGGAATTAGTTCCACTTCACGCCTGTCTTCTGTGTGGTATTTCATTTTCATGACATTCTGTCTTTGGGTAGCATTTTAATTATTTAGGCTACTTATTCTATTTACAAACACAAGTACAATATTACATAACAAGAACACATATGAAACTCATAAAACATTCACATAAACGTAACACATTCTCAAGCTTTCATCCCCTATTGTTATTTTGCGCCCTTGATGATACAATTTTTTACAAACATTGAATGTCATATTTATTTACATCGAATTAATACCTTAAAAAATAAGTTTCAAGCTTCTATATGTGAAAATGACGATATTACCATACAAATGTCCAACCCCGTTTTCAACCCCTTACAACCACTTTTTCGCGTTAAAAGCCTTTGTCCTTCCTCGGGTTCTTTACTATCTGTGAACCAAATCTCATTCAAATCGTTTCAGTACTTTTAAGTGGAAACAGGACAGACCGACAGACACACATAGACAGAGTTACTTTCGCATATATATTTTCAAAAAGGAAGTAAGGATTGTACTTCGATGTGAAACATTTAGCTGCGATTTGGGAAAAACGTTATAAATGGGTTTTGCCCGCGGCCGGCCCGGACAGCGCGCAGGCCGCCGTTATCATACTTATGTTTAGAATATAATGTAAGGTATCGCATTTAAACTGGAAAAAAAATTGTAAATATACACAGAAGATGAAGCAAAGCGTTCGCGTGACGCTATCGTAGTGTCGCAGGTCGCCGGCCGTACGATAAGCTATCAATAGAGTGGGAGACAGGAGGTTCGGGGACAGTTAGTGTTAGTGTAGCCGCAAGTTAGTGGCAGTGCCATACGAGGACAGACGACGGCAGACTGTGGCAGTGATCAGCGCAACGACACGTCACCGCGCGCTCCACCAGCGCCAGCCTCATCTACTACTCACCACTGCGCTTATTGTAACCTGACAGTAAGGTGTGATTTTTAAAATAGCTTTATGTAAGAGCTGCGGAAACATTTGCCCATCCCGTGTCCAAGGACGCTACAAACTTTAGAATATATCAAAATAGAGGTAATGACTTGATAATGCGAATATATAAAACCACGTATGCTTCGAAGAACCAGCAGATGCGGAGCAAGACGTGGGTGGTTTAAGTTTTTGCCCACGGCCTTGCGGTTCAAGGGACATCACGCCTTGGAGTTATACCCATAAAAATAAAAAAGAGGTTCAAAAAATCAGAAATCTAGTCCATCCGTCATAGATTAAAGTTTAAATAGGAAATCAAAATCTCCAAATTTAACATTTTAATAGCTACATTTTTTATATAAAGTCCGCGATATGCTGACACTAAACGTAAAGTGACGCTTACTACAATACGAGTACATCCGTGAAAACTATACCCGGATCGGTTAAGCATTTTCTAAAATTAGCGCCCACAAACACACAGACAAATCGACCAAATTTTTAAATCACATCAATATCTGCTCTTGTTCTGCCACTGATAACCAAATCCACCTCATATATAGAACGGAATCAAGTTTTAAATGTCGAATACCAAGAATATAGACGTGATACAGATGTGTTGTGATTGTACTCGTACTAGTGACCGAGCGACAACAGCTTAAACTTTTTGTTGTATTTATTGTTTTGTATTGTTGGTGCATGCGACTATTTAATTTTAATTTATTCTACCCAAGTAAGTACTTAAGGACATCCAAACATTCATCTAAACTTCTTCTTCTTCTAATGCCTCTCCATTACTGGAGGTTGGCTGTCAGCGCAGCGAGCCTTTTCCTGTCCTGTGCTAAGCGAAAAAGTAGTTCAACGCTGGCAATATTGGTCCATTCCCGGATATCTCCTCCTTCCAACTCGTCTTCTATTCATCTAAACATTCGCATTTAAATTAATAGTAACATTAAAGTATTGCATACTAATGTTGTTGTTTCCATGTGAATAATGTGACGTTTATCCTGAAGGAAAATATTGTGTGGAGAGAAGAGAGAAAGATGGCATTGGCGAGGTACGGCGCGCTGGCGGCTCTGGCGGCTCTGGCGCTGGTGCTGCCTGCCGCCGCTCAACAACCTGATGACAACAGTATATTATTATTTTGAAAAACACTTTATTCTTAAATGCATTCCATTGACTTAGATAAAAATGGAATTAAGATAATATTAATTCAAAATAATGTGGTAATTGTGCGCAGACAACTTGTACAAGGCGTGCGTGAGGGAGGACTCGCGCTCCGGGTACTGCGTACATGACAACATGTGCTACTCCAACTTCACCTTAGCCACCGGCACCACATTTATTGGTTCTACGCAGGCCAGGTACGGCCACTATTTAGTATTCACCTATTTTCATACTTTACTTTTTCCTTTACTTGTATCAAGCGGTAGAGTAATAACAAGTATTACATCTTTCAATCACAAGTATTATCGGTCAGTTACATATGTATGTATGGAAAACGTGATAGGGACCGGGCCGGCTCGCTCCTGACTCAGGCTGGTCCGGTGCGGATTGATGGACTACATACATCTTTAAATTACACCGCAGGCAAAATTACAAATTCAGTGCTTGACTTGTGCTCCATTGAGCTGTGCACTGTGCACATCCTGGCAGCGGATCGCGTCCTCTACATTAGATAGGATACGAATGGACTGACATACCCGCGCGACTCACTAACACTATTAAATTACTTGTTGCAGGATGAACGACGCAATACCGTAAGTCATTTTTATTATTCTAGTAGCTGTCGGCCGCGACTCTGTCCTCGCGGTAATAGAGAAAAAACTTAATAAGTAGCCTATATTTTCTTCCACACTATGTGTGTTCCACATCTGTGCCAATTTTATTAGGACCCGTTGAGCCGTTCCGGAGGAACGTTCAAACAAGCATCTATCCATCCATCCATCTTAACTTTCGCATTTATAATTTTAATAAGATTGTTGCTGCCTGGCCTTGCCGCCTTAATTTTCAATAATAGCATAACAATAAATATTTAGTTTTTTTAATAACCTAGCTTTTTCTCGTGTCTTCGTTCGCGCAGAATTAAAAAAAAAACAGGATGAATAGTATATGTTATATTATACTTTGTAGTATAAATTTAATAGAATAGAAGAAGAAATAGAATCCATACGAATGTTTAATGTCAATAAGTTGCACAAGTATTGAGTTATTATAACATGTGAATGAAATGTAAGTATCTTCATACATTTACGTACGTACATATGTTATCGCGGTATTAGGTCAGATTAAATCTGCTTAATGGAACTTTTAACTTAACTATACTAGCAATTAATGGTCATCTTAATTACAACAAATGTAGGATGTTTGTTTGTGTGTGCGTGTCATCGATTTATATTGTGTTGTGTGTGTGCGTGTGTGTGTGTCAATTGACAGGCAACCGCAAAAAGGTAAAAAGAAAACAAACGAATTAAATAAATAAAACAATTATATTATAACACTTGGTAGCAAATTAAAAAAAAGCTATTGCATAAATTCAAAAGTAATAACAATAGAATGTGGATTTTCTTGTTCAATCAGTACCTTTTCCTTAAAAGATTTTTAAAGAGTTTGAAGCTGTTTATTAAAATATGTACAATGTTAATAATAACTGATATATAAAAAAGTTCAAAGATCAAGGTAATATCCGCAATATATTGATGGTTGAGAGGTTGAGAGCGCGAGAGCGAGAGCGAGAGCGAGTGCGTGTCACAGAGTCGCTCCGAGTCAATGGAGCAGTGCCAGGTAATCGAAAACAAAACCTAATTTGGCTGATACTTGCCGCCTTTGACCTTTAATAACTCGACGCAGATCCGAAATTTTGTGAGAACCATTTTATAGCGCCAATGTGAAGGTACCGATAATACATATGTAAACAAATATTCAGGTTATTTCCAGAAAATTCCCAGGTTGAATCATAACAAGGCAACAACAACAAAAACAACAATACGCTCGTAACCCAGAGAGGTAGACAGAAACTATGGATGAGGGAGATTTCAGAAGAACGTGCTGTGACATTTACGGAAAGTAACGTTTATTGGCAACGATTTCATTAGAAATGTAACAATTTTATATTAAAGTAACAGTGATGACGAGTGGCTATCACGAGGTCCGGATATAAATTCGATTTCACGTTCGGAACTCTCTAGATAGTGTCTAGTGTCACATCAGGAATGCCTCGTCCTAACCTAACCTAACAATTTGAGCGAGTTGCAAAATACATTACTCGATAAACGGCAGAGGTTGTCGCAAGAGATCATCATCAACCTCACGCCCACACCAGGCGGATGGAAACCTTAATCTGAACGCATTCGTTTATTCGTTAGCTCGACTCTTTCTCTGTCTTTACGAAATCTAAGAAAATGCACATTCACTTTATTTTTATTTACTTTTATTTATTTTTTTATTAAATGAATAGTGTTACAAATTAATTTCAAAGCATGCTAATTTATTTATTATTTCATATTTAACTATTAATTTGTTTGAAAATGAAACTATTTAATATTTGTCCTTTTTAAAGTTCCGCTAATTCTGCCGCTTTGTGTATAAGCAGCTTTCACACAGGATATGTTTACAGACACATTTATGTATGTGTGTACTTTGAATGTGATGAACATATGTTTGTAGATACGTTTCATCTATCTAACAATAGATGGCTCTCTTATCTAAAAAAATATGCTTGTCAGTTTTGGGTGCTTTTAATACCGCTCTTCTTGTGTGCTTGTGTGCAGCACTAAACCCTAAAACACCTTTCTCAAATAATAAATTAAATATAAGCTTCTCAATGTTTTTTTTTTTTACAGAGAATCCCAATGTGGTGGTCTCCTATGGTGTTGCGTGATAGATACAGTGCCAAGTCCAGAAATAACACCAGCGCCGGGTCCAGGAATAACACCGGCGCCGGGTCCAGGAATAACACCGGCGCCGGGTCCAGGAATAACACCGGCGCCGGGTCCAGGAATAACACCGGCGCCGGGTCCAGGAATAACACCGGCGCCGGGTTCAGGAATAACACCGGCGCCGGGTCCAGAGATATCACCAGCGACGGATCCTGGGATATCACCAGCGCCATTTAATAAATCTAGTACGACGTCATAACTGTGTTCTTAACACTAGATACAACTGTGAGGGGGTCGATAATCCTCATTTAAGTTAAAATAGACTTCAGTATTCGATACCTCAGTAGTACTTGAGCAGTACAGTATGGGGGAATAACATTGTCGATATTAAATACACATAAGCAAAGAACTAAGACATGTTGTGGCTCAGTCTCAATCAATATAGATACCTAATTATGACATCACTTTTGACCTCAGCCGCAACCGTTTCTTCTTTAATATTACATTGGATTTTTGCAGGACGTGTGTATTTAATAGTTAATAGTATAGTATAATTTAATTATTTATTAAAACAATGCAAATTAAACAGCAATTGTTTTTCATGTGAACAGATTGCTCACTGTACTACAGCGACTGCCACTGGTGCGTCGGCCTCTACCGGTACGTATGGCGCGTCACCCCTCATGCACCCCCCCACCCCCTCTGCGTCTGTCTGTGAATGTTATACGTTTTTGATGATGATAGAAAACTTTCAAAATAAATCCATAGACAATCTATGATTGTATCCCATTGAATTCAATTAAAGTTAATGACATAATGCATGAACTACGCATGAAGCTTGCATAAGCCATATCGAGCGATCTCTGCAGAACCGGCGGCGACGTGACACGGGGGCAACGTATGGAGTCGGGCCTGTACTGTGCCGGCGCGCTGGTGGCGCCGCGCGTGGTACTCACCTCGGGCACGTGCGTGCGCGCAGTAGGCCGAGAGGCTGTGTGGGCGCGCGTGCCCGGCGCCACCGACTCGGCGCACCACTATGCCGTCAAACAAAAAATAATTCACCCCAAATATAACTCTGGTCAGTCCTAACTGTTTTCTCTTAGCTTGCCTAGTTTGATAGTTGTGTTATTATAAAAAAAAATAAGTAATTTGTTCTTATTATATTTTAGTGAATGTCCACCGTCGCCTGTGAGTGCCTTCTTACCCGTCATTCTTTGAAACATAATTACATGTAAAAGTTAGTTATGTCATTGTAGAGGTGTCACCATATTTAATTTTTTAAATTATTATGCTTAATTCTTTTAAATAAACGTTTAGCAGGTACACGTAATTTTAAGGTAAAGCGTTTCTTAAACTTACGTGATTTGTAATTCATGTTGGATCTTTAGACACCTATCGTTATAATCCCCGTAAAAGGTAATTAGTTGCTATAAAACAACAGTAGTAAATTACAGAATACTGGGTGCACGCTGTATAGTTCTGAGCCACCTCAGCCCCCCTTCCCCTCCCCCTCGCCCTCCCCTACCCCTACCGCCTCGGTGGACCCGTTGTACTTTTATATTTACTTTTTCAAATGAAGAGATGGAATTAAGTTCACAAGTTCCCATAGTCTATAGTAAATATGAGTCAGTAGGTAGGAAGGTGTTCCTTTACGTGTTGTAGTACATTCGTCACAATGAACAGGCCGGATGCCATGCTGTACTCTTCAGGTACCCACGAGAACGACTTCGGGCTGTTCCTGTTGGGAGAGGAGGTGCGCAGGGAGGAGGGCCCGGCATGCGTTGGCCGGGGCGGCGTGCTCGCACGGGACTGCGTCGCTGTTGGCTTTGATGCCAACGAGGAACTAATTGCGGTACGTACATACAAATCTCCAACGCCGAAGAAAGTCACTCGCAACCTGTTTGTCAGAGTCGTCGTGAGAGAGATGGCGGAGCATATCTGTACAGTTGATATTTTGTAAATACGCGTCACCGTTGTAGTCGCTACTTCATTTTTTTTTTCACAATTTTATTACTATAGTGTTATTATTATGCGTGTAATCTATACGTTAAAAGCAATTAAAAAAAACGGTACACAGTGACATTGAAATGTGTCCGTAATCAATATAGACGGCGGTGTCGGTGACGGACGGCGACTGCCCGGGGCGACAACGGCCGCGCAACATCCCGGACTTGGCTTGCGGCATCAGCACCGAGGAGACCTGCCACGTGAAGCCCGGCGGAGTGATTCTCTGCCCTTCGCCCGCTGACGGACAGGTACAACTAGTCACGAACAACTGTGTACATATATCTCAAGGAGTGGTATATATATCTATACTTTTACAATTTTAACTATTGCTAATGATTACACTAATAACAGTCTGTAACTCCGACTCAAATTGTGCTTATCCGGAAGTAAATTAATGGTTTATATGTAATTCATTGAGATTTAAGATAGGCTCGTCCGGTGAAATACCACGACCACACAGAAGACAGGCGTGAAGTGGAAGCAATTCCGCGTACAGTCTGATGAGTGGGCGTCTCGGAGGCATAATTTAGTCCTCTTTCCCTTCCCACGCTTTTCCTTATAAGGAAAGAATGGGAAGTTGAAGTGGACTTTCCGGATGAGAGGGATGCATGGGAAGGCAAAATATTTTCTTTCTGTGCATCCTCTCCTCCGTCGATTAAAGGTAGGCACGCATACGCAATTGCGTATGTCTATGGGCAACGGTCACTTCGCTATTTCAGCGATTTCAGGTGGCCGGTCGCTCGTTTGCCACCATATGATATAAAAAAAAATAACTACAGGGTGGATTGGAGATTGTTGGGGTGGCGCGAAAGAGATGTGAAGCCGGCAAGGTGCTGCTGGGCAAACTGGAGCCGCACATGAAGTGGCTGCAGGCAGAGCTGAGACGTCTCGGCGCCCCGCTGCTGCAATACACTGCCTAGCTGCCACACTACCTTCTGTTTCATTGTAATTCTTAATTATTAAAAAAGCTTTATTTTTTATTTTAACGTTTTTTTTTTGTTACTTACAATTATAAAATATGACTACAAAACATATTAAACTAAAATAAAATTCACGTAAACCTTATATTCCCATACAAACTGCCATCTCCTATTCCCTATTGTTATTTTAAACCCTTTTAAACCTGTTTAAAATTGTGTTTTTTTTTTTTTTTTTTTTTTTTT